AGATCAGACAATCATCAGTCAACTCAAGCATCATCACCTGCACAAATAAAATGCAGAAAACAAACAAAGAGAAGAAAACAAAAATTAGCTTTAGAGCTAAGTAAGTACTACCCAACCCCGTAAAATAATCAGGTTTGGCAAAAATAGTTTTTCATAGAATACTATATAAAAAGAACTCACTCCACCAAAATTCTCTTCCTCTTTGCTCATCTCAAAAATCACTTCTTCTCTAACTTTTTAGTAATTTAGAAGGGCGGTGCTCAACCTTTCGACTGAGCCCGGTGGACCGTGGTTACGGACGGCCACCCCGAACAAGTGTCGGTACCACAACTGCTCTTGCAGAAATGAAACGATTACCTTAAGTGTGCACACCCCCTAAAAGGGATTCCAAGCCCTCCGAGTAGTAAGTCATCTCGGGTAGTCGGGACTCAGTCTACCAACCACCCCACCTTTAAAATTCTTGAATTATTAGAGACTACTACTATAACCTCTTCTTAAAAGGGATCATAGATCCAAATGTCACTTAAAACTTAAAATGTACTTCTTAGTAGTAGCAGCCCTAATCACCCTCCACATTTATCCGGATGTGGAAAACCGACACCGCGGATTTCTCTCGCGGTGTTCACCTCTTATAAAATATTTACTTTTATCTTGAATTAATTAAGATATACTTCAAAAATATTTCTCAATCCCTTTAGTAAGTCTCGAAGGTATTTAAAATATTTAATACCCCAAAAGTGCTTAATTTATATTTCTCAACTACCATTTATATAATATCTCCTCAAAATCACATACACAAAATTCACAATTCACACTTAATCACATAATGCATAATAAGCATATAATACGAGGAAACAGTTTTGGATTGACAGAGAAACTTAACTTAATTTCCAATACTCTTATTAAGCTCTTCTGCCGACTTCTTCTCCAAATTCACCTTCTAAAATATTAACATCCTAGAATTAATAATTAATCAATCCTCCTTAGCTTAACACGATCACTGCTTTTCGATTTTCAAACTGTGTCTTAAATCCGAAGGATCCATTATAATTTGGTCATGATAATCCATAATTTTATTTGTTTAATTAACTGGTCCAATTTATTTAAAATAAAATAAAAGAAAGGTGCAGACTACTACGTACTGTGCGTCTTCTTTAGCACGGCCGGCGGACAAGTAAGAAAGAGCTCCGGCGTCCCAGCGGTGGTTCTCTCCAGTGATTCTGCAGCCTGCGGCAGCTCGGACCAGCAAGTATCCCGGCGCCTTCTTCTACAGCAGCGACGGCCAGTGTCAGTTTTAATTTCCTCCGTGTTACGTTCCTGCGTGCTTGTAAACCAGTCCGGCGAGTGATTTCTCCCTCGTCTGACGATCGTCTCCAACTCTAATTATTTCGTTATTTCCTTCTCACGTCGGCCAAGAGTTGCAGAGGCAGGGACAGATCCAGGATTTCTATTCAAGGGGGGCGAAATTTTTCGGTATTGTAGGGGGTGAAAATTTTTTGTTACTGTAGCGGGGCGAAATTTTTTCCCCTAGTGTGGCAGGGCGAATTTTTTCCGCTACTGTAGGGCTATGCGGCTAATTTTATTCAAAAAATGACATTAATACATACACATCCCCAACGACATTTAAATCTATTAAGTTGTACATTCTAAGTTTAAATTAGACGATGACAAAGACATCAACCAATACATTTTTAATAACTTCTACATTGTTTAACCTCATGAATCGCTTATTATTGAATTGTAATTTTTGTCCGGCCACCAAGAAGGGTGTTCGTGAGTCATGATTCATGAGAAGTTTTCTTAATATTACAATAGTAGTATGTATGATATTATTATTTTTGGAATAGTATGCACCACATACACACATATATTGTGCATATTATATTTTAATATTTGTATTAATGCTATAATAATTTAAAGTTTATTATCTATGCAATAAATTATTTTTAGAAAGCAAGAAGTAAATGAATTATGTGAGTAATTTAATGTCAATAAACATTTATATTTTGGATTCATTATATTTCACATGATCTAAAAACTGTGTAATTAGTGTGTCTGATATTTAATATTGTTTGATATATATTTTACAAAATCAAGTACTTGTTATCTAATAAAAATAATTAAACATTACAAAACTAGGAATTCTTATATAATAAGTATCCTAAATCTTAAACAACGAGTTATTCTATTGTTTATTTGTTTAAGTTATGTAATTATTTAGATGTTCCTTCTTTTAAATCTTCAATTAAGTATTACATTATGTAACGCTATATATTACTTTTGAAAATTAAAAGCTAAGGGGGGCGAATCTAATTAAATTATGAAAGTTTTATGAAAATATTACATATATGGTAGAAAATTTTGAAAGTCCAAGGGGGGCGGTCGCCCCCCGCGCCCCCCGCGCCCCCCCCCCCCCTAAATCCATCCCTGTGCAGAGGGGTTTGGGTTTTAGTTTTTGGGTTCATCGCAGATTTGAAAACGTTGTGTATAATATTCCGTACATTGAACTCAGTTTTGGGTGTGGATGAAACAGAAGGTTAGAGTTGCTACTTATATAGCTTTCACAGTGTTCTAGGGTTTCATTTGAGCGTATCCGGTTGGCGTGAAGCGTTGATAGCGATCTCTCGTACAATTAGCTTGTTTACGACGGTTACGGGCCGGGGTATTATGTTTATCTAAAAGCCCAGCTTGCGATCGAGTCTCCTCTGTGCCAACGATTCTGAATGTAGACGATTTTAGCTTGTATATTATTTCCTATCTATATGGTAGCTTTGATTTATCTTTTCCGCAGGTTTAATTAGCTTATAATTATCACTTCGTATTAGTTTATATAATCATACGGAGTAGTATTTTCCCTATTATTATGTACTCCCTCGGTGGATATATTATTAATGGGTTCATGTTTGAATAGTCAAAAGTTTAAAATGTACTCATATGCTATTGTTGTACCATAAACGAGTATAGTGTACGTGTATATTTTATACAAAAATTCGTTAAATATTACTTTATGTCCAAGTCTTATAACATCAATATTATTAAATGTTACTTTTATAATTTCATCTCACATATATTAGTATCACGTGTTACAAAACGTTACTTTCATAATCATCATAAAATGTCACTTCTATTATCGAAACACCTTTATCAACCAAAAATATCGCAAACGTTAAAAGACATCTGTTTCACTTAATTAGTAAAATGTCAATGTCGTACCATTTTATTTGTCTAATAAAATTATTTGTTTTATTTTAAATTTTTCGAGGTGTCACATAAGGAGTTGGACCTCCAACAACATAAGTATTGTGAAATAATTGATCAGGAAAAGGTTCAGAAAGGCCAGGGGGTCCGTAAGGAGATGAAGGATAGTTTCCAGTCTATTCTATGATCTGCGAGATTTCAACCTTGACGACAAGGTTATTTTGAAAGAGGATGGATTGATAGAGAGCAGGAAGAGCAAGGGCGGGAACGGGCTTGGGCCTACTGATGGGCTGTGGTTATAGTTTTATTTATTATTATAAAGTTTAGTTTATGTTTTTAGTTTGGGCCTAATATTAGTAGAGTATTTAGTAGAGTTAATATGGGCCTAATTAGGATTTACTTAATTTGGGATCGATTAGGGGTTTTCTTGAGTCTGTCATGAGAAGGTTATTTAAACCCCTTGTATGATTCATTCTTCATCATCTTGAAATAAAGTTGGATTTCAGCCTTTTGGCTCAGGGTAACGATTTCTATCATTGATTATCTAGGCAACGGTTTACCCCGTTAATTTTATTTTTCTGTTCTGAACAGACATTGCAAATACATTCTTTGACTCATTGGAATAACACTATCAACCCTTCTTTACCTGTTGGTGCCAGTAACTTTTCACGAGAAAGTTATCGTCTTACCGGTACCAACAAATAAAAAGAGGCTCAACTGCTCAATTGCTTTACTTCAGTGACTCGAGTAATCCCTTACAACTTAGGAAAAATTGAAAATAATAATCCCAACTATTGCCGGTCCGCTGATATTAATCCGAACTATTGATTATTTTTGTACAATCCCAACTATTTGGACCGTCCGCCAATAATGGTCCATAATCAAATATTACCTCCTATAAAAAGTGAATTTTAAATAGAAATTAGGTGTAAAAATTAATAGTTGAGATTATTTATAGGGATTACTTGTTATATCTCTCCTCATCCACTTTAGAAACTACATGAATTTATTTATAAAGACCATTATTGGCGGAAGGTCCCTAAAGTTGGGATTATTCTGAAATAATCGATAGTTAGGATTATTATGAGCGGACCACCAATAGTTGAGATTATTACTATCAATTTTTCCTATAACTTATAAGTTATAAGGTCCTTTTTTGTTTAGGGGCATGGTTGCAAAATACTACTTCCGTCCCAAAAGGTTTGTGATATTGACTTTTCTTGGTCAATAATGACAAACTTTGGACAATGATTTTAATTATTATTTTTATAGTATACTCCCTTTGTCCTCCTTATATTATCTCGTTTTACCTTTTCGGGAAATCCTACTAAAATTGTCTCATACCATATTTGGTAAAGTTTGAGTAGATCTAAAACATTCTTACTTTATTCTTACTTTATCAATTAATATCAACCACACAAACTCACTTTTCTTAATAATCGTGTCACCCTCTTCCGTCCCAATATAAAAGAGACGGAGGTAGTATAATTTATAAATTTTATATTTTTATGAATAAAGAACATTTTGATATAATTTTCATATTCAAAATAATTTTATATTAAAAAGTATCAGTGATCAAAAATTGATTGTAGTTGACTACAAAAAGTTAATTTGCTTCTTTTTTACTCTTCCAAAAAAATAAGTAAATCCGCCCCAACTTTTGTTTTGCATTTTTTGTAGTAAATTAAATTCCTTCCACTTGTAACAATGAGATCTCTCGTCAAAAACTGCCCATACAAATCAACTTTAAAAGTGACCATACCGCATAAATCTCTTGTCCATGAATAATTGGATGCCTTTGTATTCCATCACATGCATTTCTATTGAGTCTGCAACTTTACTTTTCATGTGTAACTTAACTTCTTAATCACTTTTTCTACTCTGTCTAGAAACAAAAATATCGACATACATCATGTTTTAATTTTTCAATCAACATGGTTAATTATCATCGGTGATAATAATACCATTCGGTTTTAAATAGATGTTACAAAACTGAGTGTTCACGTAAGATGGAATCCACAAATGGACATTTATCACATAATGGTTATAATAAACAGCTTCAATCTATGTCAGATCCTTCATTTGATTCTCCATTACATGTCCCCAATTTTCCAGAATCTCCAAGAAATTATCAATGTAGCAACAATGGAAGTTCCTTTAGTGTGAAGAGAACTTTGAAAGCTCAAACAGATGATTGCCCAATGAAAGGTTTCATAATACACATAAAAATCAATAACTAATTCACATTATTCTTGAGTTTATTAGTTTACTGGAATACCTTTATTTTGTATCCTTATCATCATCTATGTACACATGCAGGTGAAAATGGAGGAAAAGGAACGCAAGGAGAGCCGCTTGATATTGATAATAACGGTGGTGTCCTAGAAGCAGATGATCTAAATTACACCAACAATGAGGTATTACATACTTCAAAACATTCTATAATGTTTTTCGTATGAAAACAAAAAGAAAAACACAATGTTCTAAGTTATGATATACTACATATTCACTTGGATATCTTGCGATCTTAAAACAAATCAGACTCAAGCAAATTGCATTTCGTTAGACTCAACCTGACGAGCATTGCATAATTGATGCAGTATATGGGTTGGGATCCACAAGCCACATCTTCAAAATAACTAACAAAATTTACACAATTTATACAATACTAGACTCAATAGAAGAATATATATGTAGACGACACCAAGAAAATTTAGCTTTAGAAAAGATATGTTATAATTACTACTCTTGGATATAACCTCTTGTAATTTTTTAAAACGGTGAGACATCAAAGTCTTAACTTTATAATTTGTAACTCTATTTTTCTTGATCAGGATAATGAGCAATCCACAATTGGTACAAAAACATCTGAAGAATTTAAGGAGTATAAAAAGAAGGTGACACTGATCTTGGAGGAGTACTTTGAGAATGATGACATAAGCTCAACCGCAAGCGAACTGAGAGAATTGCGAATGCCTGACTACAACTTCTATTTCGTGAAGAAGCTTATATCCATGGCAATGGACAGGCACGACAAGGAGAAGGAAATGGCTGCTCTCTTGCTCTCCTCGCTCTATGTTGATCTAATCGAACCCCAGCAAGTCTACAAAGGTTTCACCAAACTGCTGGAATCGGCCGATGATCTAATCGTGGATATCCCAGACGCGGTTGATGTTCTCGCTCTGTTCATAGCCCGAGCGGTGGTGGACGACATTCTTCCGCCCGCTTTCTTGGCCAAGGCTGTCGCCTCCTTACAGTCTGGGAACGCTAAAGGAATAGAGGTTATCAATCAGGCGAAGAAGAGCTACTTATCGGCTCCACTTCATGCTGAAGTGATTGAGAGGAGGTGGGGTGGGAGCAGGAAGAGAACGGTTGATGATCTTAAGGGGAAGATAAACAATTTGCTGAAGGAGTATGTGGTGAGTGGAGACAAGAAAGAGGCTTTCAGGTGCATTAAAGATCTGAATGTTCCTTACTTCCACCATGAGATTGTGAAGCGGGCAGTGATCTTGAGCATGGAAAGGGTGGCAGCAGAGAGCAGGGTTTTGGAGCTGCTGAAGACAGCAGCGGAGGAAGGGCTTATCAATTCAAGCCAAATCACAAAAGGGTTTAGTCGGATCATTGACTCTATTGATGATTTATCTCTTGATGTACCAAATGCAAAGTCCATACTCCAAATGCTGATATCCAAGGCCGCTTCAGAGGGGTGGCTATCTGCCTCCTCTCTGAAGTCAATATCATCTGTTCATCCTCCTCACTTTGGTAACTACCTTGCATTCAATTACTCAGTCTTAAAAGTCTTTTTGTTCATCAAGGGGACTAGAAAAACTAAGCGAAGGCTACTTTAGGGTACCCAAAAATGCATCAATATCAATAAAGAAGGTACTCCATAATATTTATGCATCTTTCCTAATTTCCCCTATAATTTTCTATAACTATATCCTTTAGGGAAGCAGAATGTTGCAGCAGAGAGAAGCATAGTGAAGCGTTTCAAGACGAATGCAGAATCCATAATTAAGGAATACTTTCTGACCGGTGACATTTTAGAAGTGAGTAGGTGTCTTGAATCAGAGATCAACAATAACAGTTGCTGCCAGTTTTCTTCCGAGCTGAACGCCATCTTCATCAAGAAACTGGTGAGCCTAGCAATGGACCGGAAAAATCGAGAGAAGGAGATGGCGTCTGTCCTGCTATCCTCCCTATGCTTCCCAACGGAGGACACGGTGAGCGGTTTCACAATGCTGATCGAGGCGGCGGAGGACACGGCCATAGACATCCCGGGGGCGGTGGAGGATCTGGCGATGTTCCTAGCCAGGGCGGTGGTGGACGAGGCTCTGGCCCCACAACATCTAGAGGAATTAGGAGGAGGAACCCAGAACAATAACAATCACAAAGTGGTGGGTATGGCGAAATCACTGCTAAAGGCGAGGCTTTCCGGCGAGAGAATCCTGCGGTGCTGGGGAGGAGGCGGGAACGGGACGAACGGGTGGACGACGGAGGAGGTGAAGGAGAAAATGGCGAAATTGCTGGAGGAATTCGAGTGCGGCGGGGACTCGAGAGAGGCTTGCCGGTGCATAAAGGAGCTGGGGATGCCGTTCTTCCACCATGAAGTGGTGAAGAAGGGGGTGGTGAAGATGATGGAGAAGAGGTCCGGCGGCGGTGGCGAGAGGGTGTGGGGTTTGCTAAGAGAGTGTTTCGGGACGGGGCTGGTGACGATGAATCAGATGATGAAGGGGTTCGTGAGAGTAGGAGAGTCGTTGGATGATCTGGTTCTGGACGTGCCTGATGCTCGAGACCAGTACCGGTGCTATGTTGACCGGGCTAAGATGGAAGGATGGTTGGACCCCACTTTCAATCCTGACTTTATTGCCACTTCTGTTGGCTATTAAAAAAATATTTATGCACACACCAACTTATTTTTATGTAACATGATATGTTTGTGAACATACAATTACAGGCAAAAGAAACAAAATAGATGTTCACAAAATGACATACACATGTAAAATAGTGTGTATAAAAATGTTTACAAGAAGAATCTTTTGTAATTAATGTGATTACTCTGCTTTATGCGTTAACCACTTCTTTATGCGTTATTAATGTGATTTCTCTGCTTCTCTTATCAACATTTTTTGCTCGGAGATTAAAATTATATGACAAAAATACTAGCATTTCTTTACTATCTTCTTAACATTCTTTTTTTGTCGCTCACAATCAACGTTCATTTTCATAAAACATTGTCATATTGAATTTTTTTTAATAACAACCCTGCTATAGGTACCTCAATTTATACCTCAGCCTATTTTTGTGGCTCACAAAAGCTCATTTCAATAAATGAATTGCTCCACTTTAATGAGCTGCTTTTGTGAGCGACAAAAATATGGTGGGGGTATAAATTGGGGTACAAATTGGGGTACGTTTAGCATTTTTGTTTTAATAATTATAGACAAATTTCACCACTGATATTTATAAATATAAAACTGAAGATTATAGAAAATGCTTTTTGTAAAAAATGATTTTAGAAAAGTATGGAACTTATAAATTTCATATGAATATATAATAGGAATATTATCATTTAGGACCTCAAAGTTTAGCGTTTTATCATTTAGGGACGCAGAAGATAAACTCTATCGCTAAGGGCCTATAGTATTAGAATCTCATAATATAACGTTCGAAATTTTAACATCATTAACATACAACTTACAGAATCATATGTGGCACCACCCTATGTTGCACCGATACTTCACTTCGATGCCGTATCCGCGTATCCGATACGTATCCGTATCCGATACTCACCGATACCCGTCCTGTACGTATTGGGTCCGTATCCGTAATTTAATAAAAGTATCGGGCTTAATTTTAAAAATACCGATACTTCCGATACCCGTATCCGTGAACCGATACGTGTATCTGAACCTATAACCCCTCATTTTATACACGACATGACGAAAATTTAGTAGCCAACCAAGCGACCACAACATGTGGAACATTGATAAAGATGATTTCGGGAGTATGAAAAATAATGGAATACTATAATTTGACATTTCATTGCTTGATGATATTTAATTGAAACAAGACTTGGATGTAAATGCAAATAGAGAACAAAAAAAATTATTTGAATTTAAATCAAAATATCAATACTTTAGTTCTTTAGACTAATCTTTGAAACTTTATTATAATAGTTAATTTTTTGTACTATTATTATTATTTTATTTATGAACCCCTGAATTATATATATTTGCAAATTATACCCTATATTTTTATTATTTATAAATATACCCCCATACCCGTATCCTATAATTTTTGAAAGTGCCGTATCGCCGTACCCGTATCCGCGTATCCGCGTATCGGCGTATCCGTATCCGTGCAACATAGGCACCACCTAAGTAAAAAACAAATAAATATTTAATAACAATATAATGAATCAGAAATTATCCTCCGTATAAACTTAAACTTATACGCAGCCGCCTATCCTAGAGTCAACTACTTCCTTCTTCGCATACAAGATTCTACAATTCTCATCAAAGATTTGTATGTTACGTTGTCGCATCCTTTGTACCACATCTGCGATCATATAAAACATAATTTGATAATTCTTTTTCTTCTTCTAATTGTACCACGTGTGACGTTTACTTTATAAAATGTTGTCATGTTTAAAGGTTGATATTGTCAAAACATGGTAATAATTACTCTTATATGAGAAATAAAAACATGGAAGTCCTGTTTTGAAATTATAAAACGTTTTTACTTTTATTTAGTCAATTATTCTGCAATGTTTCTTTTATATATTAATAACTAGTATTTTACCCAAGCGTTGCCCCGGGCGGATTTAGAGAATGTTTGGATACTTTGTAAAATATATATTTTTACAACATATAAATAATACGAAGTATATCATTTTACTTTAATTTAAATAGGCGTTTGTTCGTTGTGAATAACAACTTATTTAAAAGGAATATACAAATTAATTTGTCATAAAACCTTTAAACAACACGATTATGTACACAATAATTAAATAAGGTAAAACTCGAGTATATTTTTAGATTTATATATATATATATATAATACCCACTTATTCTTACTTTATTCTTATTTTATCAATTCAATATCAACCACATAAACTCACTTTTCTTAATAATCGCACCACCTTTCTTGTCACATTGTTAAGTAGGACGGAGGTGGTATACTGAGATTAGAGCATCTCCAATGCTATAATGTGCACGATGCACATGTGAAGAGATAGTCACGTAAATATTAGCAAATAAATTATCTCTCCCCTTATTTGAATGATTTTATATAATCGTGGTAAGTTTTTTTCCACAATGTCAAGAAGACCGTCTAGATGTTGACATTGTGGTTGACAATGCAGAAATAAACTTACCAAAATTATATAAAATTATTCAAATATGGAGAGAGATGATTTATTTGCTAATATTTATGTAGCCATCATTCATTCCACATGTGCACTGTGCACATTTTAGCATAATTTAGTAGTGATAACTGTGATGTTATAAATGTGCTATTTTTAATATCTAGTAAATTATCATTTAAAAGTGTCAAATGTTTTCTAAAATATAAATGAGAACCTTTATATGAGACATCTCAAAAAGAAAAGTGAGATCCTTCTATGAGACGGAAGAAGTATTAATTATCTTCCTTTTTGTATAATTTATTGAATTTATTAATTTAGTTGATAGAATATTCAAATAATAATTAAAAAAGGAAGGGATATTCTTCCTTTGTTTTGAACTACTAACTCGTTTATTATTTAGTTGGTAGAATACTCAAACAATAATTTAAAAAAGGAAAGGATATTCTTGCTTTGTTTTGAATGTATGAAGTATGAACCCAATTTTTGTTCCTTCCTATATCTATTACTCCGTAATTTTTTTCATAACATTGATATGGACATTTTGATCTTTAATTTAGTTAACAAAAGTATTGAATAGGTTGATTATTTTCATACGAATTGTTACTCATTTTAAATTTAATTTTTTATTATTAAATTTAATTTATAATATGTAATTTATTAAAGTTTTTCAATGCAGTTGTGGAAGATGAGGAGCAAAAAGAATGTATTATTATTCCTAGCTATGTATCATTTGTACCTGTAATTCATATAGAGTAATACGTAGGGTATATATGTGTGTGTGGAAGGTCAAATATAAGTATTTGCTTTTGAATATTGTACATCGTGTTTGCAGACATATTAATTTCCGCTTTTCTAATTTATATGTTAGATTTTTACATATGTGCAAATGAATATACTCAAATTAAATAACAGGCCGTACTGAGTTTGATAATATGTTTTTTAATACAATATGCAAATGAATATAAATGTACATATTATATATTTTTTCAAAATATATTCAAATCAAATATTTCTTTTAATTTAATAAAATATACACTACGTACTCAGTTTGATAATACTCCTCAAATGAATATACACTATGTTACTTTTGAATTAGCCACCATTAACGTAGTGTAATGAGACTATTATTACTATATGTATACCTTAATGGTCTCATTAATTTTGGAATGTCTAATTACGTTGTAATTAATAGCCTGATGAGTTACATAATTTAAATTACATGCCTTAAGATTCTATAACTTACAAATATGGCCTGAATTAATTGGACTTGATAGAAATTCGTAAATTCATAATTGTACTCAATAGCAAATAGTTGAAAATTCAATTTCAATTTCAAGGTTCTACTTTATTAGTAAGAAGGTAGAATAATCATCTTTCAGGGGGTCGTAGTTACGCGGACATTCAAGGTTAAGTCTTTAAACTTAGGTCTTTAAATGTATGCATTCACGTGTTTGATTGATTAATAATGATGTTGAAGCCCCACACCGAAAAATTGTGAAGTAATAAAGTGTTATATTAAGATATTAAAATCGAAACTGAGATCATAACATGATATCAGAGACAAAATAATTCATAACCATGGTGTGAGATGCCTTATGAAAAATGACTACATGATTGTTAAAAAAGGAAATTTGTTTTTTTGTCATACATTCCCATAAATGATTTTCTAAAATGATAAAAAGTTCATCCAAATACCCATTAAAAAGAAAAGAGTGTGTAGGCTCATATAAATAAAGTACTCGATCCAGTGGCGTATCCAGAAAATTCGGCCAGTAGGGGCAAATTTACATTAACAGTATCACATGTATTTAGGAAATAAATATTAATTAATAAATTGACCGTTGATTAAAAATAAAATAATTTTTTTATAAGAAATAAATGAAATATGTAATTATAAATTTGTAACTAATTTAAGTTAAAAGTAAACAAGTGTGTTTTAATACTAAGTGCAAAAGGATGTGATTGAAATTACATATAATTTATTAGTTACATAAAAATAAATTATTTTAAACTAATTTGGATATTAGGTTTAGACATTCTATTGTTTATTAAATACAAAACCAAAAATATATAAGAAATGGATGAAATATGTAATTATAAGTGATTTGAGTGACAAATAAACATGCTTTAATATTAGGTGTGAAAAGATGTAATTGAATTTAAACAGTTTCAAAAAAGGATTAAAATAAAATAAAGAAGAGTTGCTAAGGGGATTCAAACCCATGACCCTTCGGAAAGGCATGCACCATTCCACCCGCTCAGCTATAGTGCTAACTAGGTCTAGAGATGTTTTAAATAGTAGTTATACTATGTGTAATAAAATGATATATGTATAAAAAGAATTTGAAATATATATATATATATATATATATATATATATATATTGTTGGAAAAAAATGTTAAAATTGCATTAAATGGTCATTTTGGGGTAATTTTTGGAGTGGGGTCCACTTCCGATCTGGATCGGTTCAAAGTGGTTTCGGATTGTCCTTGCTTTGGGCTACAATTCGATATATAGTACGCTCAAAATGGATAACGGGTGAATGAGAAATTGATTCTCGAAGTTCACTCGTTGAAATGGAGAAAACTAGGAAAAAGCGGGTTTCCAATGTGAGTTTTTCCCACACCGAAAATCACAAGGGAATTTGAGCCCTTTATAAAGGGACCCCCCCCCCCCCCCCCCGAAG